AAAGAGTCCCAGTGACTTCATGATGCTTTGAGTCTGCTCCCCCCAGACCTAAATCATACTTGGGCCAGAAGCAAATGTTAAATGAACCAAAAAAAAAAAAACCAAAAACAAAAGAACCACACAGAAAAAAGGTGAAATATATTTTAGTGCACCTTCAGTTGTCCCATGGAGCGTTCAATGGGATACCACCACTATACTCACTATCTGTGTGCTTGTTAGTCACTCCCAAGCACCAGTTCACATCACTTCAGTCAAAAAAACTTGGTGTTTTTCAAGTCTGCATGACGCTGCTTTAGCCTGCGTGGCTCTGGGATGTGTTCCTCTGTCACTTAGCTATGCCTATGTCTTAAAAGTTAACAAAATGCCAACAAAGCAAATAATGACCAAAAGCTGTGAATGCCCAGAGCTTTCCCCTACCCTCAAGGAGAGATGAAGATGGGTGGACCTGCCCACAAAATGACTGGGACGTTAGAATGGAGCTGCAAGGGTCCGTGTGCCCTGCCAAACGGCTGCATGGTGGGGCAGTCCCCTGACACCAAGGACCTTCTTAGCACTCTTTGGGGTCGCTGTGGAACTCCTTCTCTGGCTGAGGAAATCTGCACTTGAAGTGCCCACAGCTGCTTCTCCTGGGTCTTGAAGGGTGAGAGCAAAGTTGAGTAAGTCCAACTGGTGGTGCTGGTAACATCAGAGCCCGGCTAGCGAGAGGTGGCTTCACCTGGGAAGGCAGTACTGGTGCTGCGGAGCAATTCCTGTTCCCGGGCCAGTGAATGTTCAAATGGAAAGACTCAGTATTGACCTGGAATCTAATTTTGCAGCTGATATTTAGAAATAAAGCAGGAGGCAGGTCCTGAACCCTGGATGCGTCACCAGGTGCTGTGCTTTAGCTGGAATGTCAAATGCACTCTGCTGAGGGTGTCGAGGAGCAAGATGACAAGATGAGGTCGGGGGGATCAGCTTTGCTGGCTGTGTGTTTTCCCCTATAACAAGATACAGTCCCTCAACCTTGGTGATTAAGGGACAGCAAATTTTCAGATTTAGAGTCCAGTGTCCCGGGAGATAGATTGCAAAACTGATTATAAAATGTTATAAATGGATTTATGGACATGATTTTCCCAAATGAATTTTTTTGACCAGAGGGAAGAGCAAGTGCGGAAAGCCTGAGTGTACTTCATATGCAACCCAGGGATTAAAATACCTGCTTCAAATGTAAATCACAACTGAACCCAAGTTACAAAGGGATGAACGATCCTCCCTTAGCATTGCTAGTGCTGTTGTAAATCTTCCAGCCGAAGCTTGCAATACAAAGGAGCAGGTTGCGAGCACGTGCTTTTCAGAGCTGAGCAGACAAGCCCAGCTCAGCCTTGCCCTAGGTAACAAGGTGTAACAAAAGCAGATTCACTGTCTTCACAGCACATGCAATGCTTTTAGGTACCTTCTACCTCCTTTTGTCCCAGGGCCATGCATTTCTGAAAAGGCTTTGACTAAAGAAAAAATACAATGCTTTGAGCTACCGTAAGTAAAAGACTTTAAGTCATTCTGTAACTATTTCTGGATTTGTCCCAAAAGAGCTGAATAGTTTAGGGGGAAAAACACGGTCAAGATTTGTGGGGCTGGAGTTGGTGGTTGCCGTTAGCTCTATAAGCCAACTGAGCCAAAACACTCACCTGGAGCACAGAAGAGCTGGATTCGCTGCAGAAGGGGGTTAGATCCATATGTCTCACCCCACAAATGAGTATCTTAAGCACACAGAGCTTTGGACTTGTCTGGTTTCAATCTTTTGTGTTGTACTCACTGTGTCATGTGAAACATTTAAATGCTTGTAGAGCCAGAGAGCAGAGAATGCATACTTTTCTACCAGGCTAATGTGAATCCCTCTTGTAGGAGGTTACGCATAGCTCTGCTCTCTTACTTCCATGCTTATTTAATTTTTCACGTTAAAGTGAGATATTGTTTCCAGAATAAGACTATCCAAATTCCCTGAGATGGATAAAGGAGTTAGAATCAACTTTTCCTGTTTCATGAATGAATCTCCTAATCAGTGACCTATTGGATAAAAAGATCCTGAGGTTGTTTTCCATGTGAATCTACTCTTTATGCCTCAGTTTGCCTTTATAATTTTACATCGGAGGATAACAGAGCAATCCTGGACTCAGAGTTGCTTGGCCAGTTGTTAGCAGGGGGAACTACATGTTATTATATTTAAAGAAGACAGCATTGTTCTTGCCATGTTGGGCATGTTGCTGGGCTGCAAGCTTGTGGCAGGTGAGCTTTGGGAAGTGAAGTGCCTGTGCTACATACCCAGACACTTTCGCATCTCTACAAATTACAGGATACTTGGATTAGTAAACACGGAGTCATTCAATTGCAGTTCGATAACTTGTACCATGAATGTGATGGGTCAGAAAATTAAGGGTCCTTTTCCTTGGGGAAGCTGAACACGTGGAAACGATGGGTCAGACTTCTGAAGAGTCAACTTCTGAAGAGTCAACTGCGCATTTGTAATCCTGTTGTCTGCTGGGACAGATGGGGCTGGTTACAGAAGAAGTCACAGTTGTGTATGGAGAAACTGCAGAGAGGTAAGTTGTTCCAGTTAGATACCCGCTATGCTCTCCTACTCACTCCCCATCACCCTTGACTTCTCAGGGCCATTTTCACCTCCTGCTATCATCCGGTCCATCAGCACTGACCTCTTCTGCAGACCTGTGTTCAATGTACCCTGAAAATCTTGGTAATATGGAGTTTGCTGCCTTTCCCATGTCCACCCTGGTGTTCATATCCTCGATGAATTCCAGCCAGTTAATGAGGCATGCCTTTCCCTTCCAGAAAGCGCAGTGCCACTACTTAACCCCTTGCCTGCCATCTTTCCCAGCACCCCAGGGGCTACACAAATAAAGCAAACTCGCTTAGCTGTTATACTGCCAGGATGTAAAGCATATGCTCGTGGTGCTGTGGGGAATCTGAGTTTCTTTGTGTGCTGCATGGACTCTCTTGAGCTTCTGGAGGCATCACAAGCAATTAATCATCTTAGACTGGCCCAGAAATCCTTCTGCACAAAGTCATTACTGAGGTCTCCATCATGGTGAAGTTTTAATAATCCGACTTGAGTTTCTAGTGTCCTTAGATACCGGGGGAAAAAAAAATCTCAGTGTTTACTGACTAGAATTGGTGCAGCTTGCTCCTTCACGCAATTTCCTCCATTTTCTCTTTGTCTATTAGTTTATTTTTGTGGTTGTCTCAAGGACTGTCAGTTAAGCATAATTCAGCAAAAAAGCATTAATAGTTCTAGTTCATTACACTGCAGCTGACCTTTATGTCACAGTAAGGGTGCATGTGCTACACCCCTGGTCTGAAGGCGCTTGCTTACTCTGAGTGGATGTGGTGGTTTAGTTAGATTTGCTTAGATTTAAGCAAATCAGTTGCTTTGGGGGTTTTCAGGTATGCACTGCTGAATGGACCTATTCCAGCAACAGTGGTATAATTGTCACCACTTGAAATATTGCATCAGGGAGCCCTGGGTCACTGGTGCAATGTCACTGGGAGCTATGTGTTGGCTGAGCCATGACCACCTGAAATCTACTCAGAGGTGTATGTGCTATGGATGCTCTGGGAAGTGCATTCTGGTGGACACTTGCTCATATCATAAAAGC